CGTTCAACTGAAGGAGATAACGGCGATTTAGTTGTTTCCGTTTGCTGCAGTCCCAGCAGCAGCAGCAGCAGCAGCAGCAGCAGTTGCTGCGCTGGCCCTGTCGAGCTCACTTTGAACGCTCTTGCTGCTGCTGATGCTGCTGCTCCTGCTGCTGCTCCTGCTGCTGCTGCTGCGTTCTGCCGGACTAATGTCTCTGCTGTTGTTGCCAACGAGCCGCAGCTGCAGCAGCGCAGCAGCCCAGTGGAGCTTCGCGTGAGCCAAACCCTAAACCCTAAACCCTAAACCCTAAACCCCAAGCCACCAAGCACAATTGTATGGCTTCGTTCGGTGCTGCTGCTGCGCCTGTTCTTGCTGCTTCTGCCCCACCTGCTGCTGCTGCTGCTGCTGCTGCTGCAGATCCCCGTCTCTCTTAGCCGCCTGAGGCGTGCTGCCCTGAATGGTCCTGCTGCTCTTTCCTTAAAAGGAGTTCTCCAGTACTTTGCTGCTGCTGCCCCGCAGCAGCAGCAGCAGCAGCAGCACGAGCTCGAGGTTGTGCTGCAGGTGCCCTTCTACGCTTTGCTGCGGCCTCTGCCGCTCTCCCCAGAGTCTCTTGGGCAATTCATGGCGGTAAGCAGCAGCAGCAGCAGCAGCAGCAGCAGCAGCAGTAGAGGCAGCATTCGCAGCAATATTAACAGCAGCAGCGACAGCAACAGCCGCAGCAGCAGCAATAACAGCGCGAGCAGCAGCAACAGCAGGAATAGCAGCGGCAGTAGCACTAGCAGCGACAGCAGCAAACAGCGGCAGCAGCGATAGCAGTAGCAGCAGCAGCAGCACCTACTGCAGCAGCTGCTGCTGCCCCATGCGCCGATGCTGAGCTGCATTCAGCCACTTTTGCTTCAATCTCTTTTTGTTTCCTTATGCATGTTTTTGCTGCTGCTGCTGCTGCTGCTGCTGCAGACAGAAGGCAGCAAACTGCAGCAGCGCGCTCAAGCAGTTGTGACTGTGCCTCTGGGCCCCTCCGCAACAGCAGCAGCAGCAGCAGCTGCTGCTGCTGCGCGGCAGCTCTTAACTCTTTTGGGAGCAGCAGCAAACTTGCACTTGGTGGAGACGCAGGAAGTGAACACAGCAGGAGCAGGAGCAGCAGCAGAGTGGACCTTGAAGAGCCTGTTTTGCGGCGTGCTGCGGAGCGAGCTGCTGCAACAGCAGCAGCAGCAGCAGCAGCAGCAGCAGGTGTTCGTGGTGCTGATTAGTTGTGCTGCAGCAAAAGGCCACGAGGGAATTCTGCAGTTTAATATTGCAGCAAGAGCAGAGATAGAAGAAGCTGCTGCTGTGGCTGCAGATTTGAAGCAGCTTCTGGAAGCGTTAGCTGCTGCTGCTCCTGCTGCTGCTGCTGCTGCAGCAGGTACAGCAGCAGGTGCAGCAGCAGCAGCAGCACCAGCGCCCTAAGCGCCTGAAATAGAAACCTTTTGCGCACTTATTATTTATTATTTATTATTAATATTAATAATACTATTATCATTATTAATTATTAATTATTAATTATTAATTATTAATTATTTATTATTATTATTATTTATTATTATTCAATTGACTTCAATTTTTATTCGTTTGTCTATTTGCATTTTAGCAGCTTTTGTCTTGTTTGCTGCTGCTTTTAGTTTGTTGCGCTGCTTCCATGGTCTTCATTTTCTGCAGCTGCTGCAGCTGCTGCTGCAAATCTTGCTGCTGCAACTGCTGCTGTGCTTCTGGCGGCCCGCTGAGAGGCTCTTTCCTTGCCTCATTTGCTGCATTTAAATTAAAATAAATAATTAAATAATTCTCCATTTATAATTAATTTATTATTAACAACAATTAATTAATTAATAATTAATTAGTTAATTAATTAATTATTAATTAATTAAAATAACAGAATGCAGCAGCCGCGAGCAGCCGCAGCGGCAGCCCCCGGGTTGAGGCTGCGGCAGCAGCAGCAGCAGCAGCAGCAGCAGCAAAACAATTTGCTTGTATTTCTTTGCAATTAAGAATAAAAAGAAAAGTATTATTTTAGCTTTAATTTATTTTCATTTTTATTGTCTTATTCTTTTCATTATTTTCTATTCTTGCTGCTACGAAGAAAGCCTTTTCTTCCAGTGCTTTTATTTTTTCCTGCTGCGTCCTCTCGCTGCTGCTGCTGTTGCTGCTGTTTCTGCTGCTGCTGCTGCTGCTGCTGCTGTGATTCGGTTTTAGCTGTGGGGCAGCAGCAATTCCTATCGTTGCAAGTATTATTATTATTCTTTTTAATTTAATTTTTAATGTTATTAGTGGAATTTTATTATTATTATTATTATTATTATTATTATTATTATTTATTATTATTATTACTATTGTTATTATTATTAATTATAATAATTATTAATGGGAGCTGCTGCAGTTGCAACTGCAGCAGCCCCAGCGGGCGACTGAGGTGTACGTACACCTGGTGGGCTGCAGCAGCAAGCAGCAGCAGCACCAGCTCTGCTGCTGCTGCAGCTCGCTGCAGCAGCAGCACCAGCTGCTGCCAGCTGCATGCAGAGAATCTGTGCTTCTATATATATATTTTTTTTGTGTTTACACTTCTATATTTTGTTTAATTTTCTTTCTTTCTCTCGTCTCCTGCTGTTTAAGCCAGCTGCGCATGTTCTATTCGCGTTGCTGCTGCTGCTGCTGCTGCTGCAGCCCCAGACAGCTGCTGCTCTCACTATTGTTGACTTTTTTGCGACTGTTGCTTCCATTATACTATTTTATTTTATTAGTTTTATTTTATTATTTTTATTTTATTATTTCGGTTTTGTCATTCTGTTAATAATTGGGGGAATGTGCTGCAGCTGCTGCTGGCAATTAGAGTTTGGGGCTCTCTGTGGCAGCAAGCAGCACGGCTACGTTGCTGCAGCTGCTGCGCTGCTGCTGCTGAGCAGCTGCTGTTGTTGCTGTTTTGCTGCTGCTGCCGCTGCTGCAGATGTGCACCTGCTGTTACTGCTGCTGCTGCTGTCACTGCTGTGCTGCTGCCGCTGCTGCTGCTGCTGTAGGCAGTGGTCTGTGAGACACCGCGGGGGCTCGGGGCCCCCCGACGGAAGTTAATCTCAAATAGTCTAAAAATAGTATTTTAAATGATTTAAATTAAGTTTTAAAAATAAAAAAGAAACAAAATCCGAAAATAAAAAGGTGAATGGGCCATTCAGCCCGCAGCCGTCTGCTCGGGCTCCCGCAGCGGCGGCTGCGGCTCAGCAGCCGCCAAAAAGGGTTTCTAATTGCTTCAAAACCCTACATTAGTGTTTTAAATACAATTGTATCAGGAAAAAATTAGAATATTTGCGTTTTCCCAGCTGCAGCAGCAGCAGCAACTGCAGCAGCAGCAGCAGCAGCACTGGCCCACTGCCGGTCCAGTCAAAGGAGGTCGGCGGCCGCAGCGGGGCTGCGGCGAAGTTGCTGCTTTTTCCTTTTGAGTTTTGCTTGCATTTTTCTTTTATTAATTTTAAATAAACAACAATAATGCAATTTAACCAGATCTGCAGACAAAAGAAACCGTAAACCCTAAACCCTGACGCTCCGCTGCACCCACCACGAGCCCGCCCGCCCATGCAGCAAACCCTAAACCCTAAACCCTAAACCCTAAACCCTAAACCCCCGCGCCTGGCGGCTCTCAGGGGCTCAGAAGTGCATCTTAGGAAGGGCCTTCGGCGCAGCCCCGGAGGGTCTGGGCTTTTCGGGGCTAGGGTTTAGGGTTTAGGGTTTAGGGTTTAGGGTTTGGGGCTTCAGATTGCGATCAAAGGAGACCGCCCTTAGAGGAGCAGCAGGACTATCCTAGCAGCAGCAGCACAGATTGAACAGCCTGCAGCAGCAGCAGCAGCAGCAATAGCAGCAGCTGCTGCAGCAAACACCCCACTATCAAGCTGCTGGGACAGGAAAAGGGCAGCTCGACCCTACTAGACAGCAGTAGCAGTTACAGCAGCAGCAGCTGCAGCAGCAGCAGCAGCCGCAGCAACGGCTGCTGCTGCAGCAGCAGCAGCAACAATGCCGTACAGCCACCTTCGCTCTCTCGTCTCAAATAATCCTTCTAGGCAAAAGACACTGCAGCACTTTGGGGGCTTTCGAAGCAGCAGCCGCAGGAGCAGCAGCAGCAGCAGCAGCAGCAGCAGCTTGCGGGGCAGCCGCCTGGGCCGCGGAAGTGGCCAGACATGCAGCAGGAGCCGCAGCAGAAATGGCTGCAGCAGCAGCAGCAGCAGAAGCATCCTGATGCGAGCCCCCAGAAAGCGCTGCAGCAGAGCAGCAGCTAAACTTGCTGCTGCTGCTGCTCTCACAACGAGGAGCAGCGGCAGAGGCTGCAGCAGCAGCAGCAGCATTCGGGGGGTGAAGACCATCCGCAGCAGCAGCAACAGCAGCGGCAACAGCAGCAGCAGCAGACATGCAGGCCGCCGCCGCGCTGCTGAGCGATCTACCGAAGCTGCTGCTGATGAAGACTCGAGTGCTGCTGCTCGTGCTGCTGTTGCTGCATCTGCTGCTGCTGCGCCTGCTGCTCACAGGGGCAGCAGGCGCAGCAGCAGGAGCAGCAGCGGCAGCAGCAGCAGCAGCATGCGGCAGCTACGAAGGCCTCCACTTCAAAAAAGACGCCGCGGGGGCCCTCCTGCTGCGGCAGAAACGCGCCATGCTGCTGCTGCTGCTGCTAAGGGAAGGTCTCCCGCTGCTGCTGATTCTGCTGCTGCTGCTGCTGCTGCTGCAGTAAAAGATGCTGCAGGCAGCAGTGGATCCTCATGCAAACGCGAGAAGAAGCGAGCAGCACGGTCTCCAGCAGCCGGTGCAGGTGCTGCACCTGCTGCTGCTGCTGCACCTGTTGCTGCACCTGCTGCTGCACCTGCTGCTGCACCTGCTGCAGCTGCTGCAGTTGTTGCCAAGTCTTCGAGTGTATGCACCCCTTCGCCAAGAACTAACAGAGGTGCGGCTTCCCCCCTATATGTGAAGCTGCCTTTGGTTTTGCTGCTGTTGCTGCTGCTGCTGCTGCTGTTGCTGCTGCTGCTGCTGAAGTGTCAGCTGCTGCTGCTGCTATGCTGCTTCTCAGGGGAGTCCAATGTTCGGACACCGCATCCGTTACAGAAGTGAGTCCTTCTAGCAGCAGCAGTAGCAGCAGCAGCAGCAGCAGCAGCAGCAAAAGGGGCTTTCCGCTGTGTCGCCACCGCTGCTGCTGCTGTCGTGCTGCACCCATTTTACAACTCTTCTTTCCGAGATGCAGCAGCTGTTTATGCTGCTGCTGCTGCTGCTAGGGATTTTGGCACACTTAGCAAAGATGGTGCTGTGCTGCTGCCTGTGCCATTGCTGCTGCTGCTACTGCTGCTGCTGCTGCTGCTGCAGGTACTTCCGGCTGGATTCGCGGCGTCTGTTCCTTACTGGAATGAGAGACGCTCGGCAAGTCGAGGGTTTAGCTGCCTTTTTGCTGCAGCAGTTTGCGGGCGCTGAAGCTGCTGCTGCTGCTGCTGCACCTGCTGCAGACTCTGCCGCAGCAGCTGGGTCTGGCGACCGCAAGCTGCGCACGCCTACGAAGTCTGAAAACAAAAGCCGCGGTGCTTCTGGCCTAAAGAGGAACCAGAAGCAGCAGCAGCAGCAGCAGCAGCAGCAGGAAGACAGCAGCAGCTGGGACGAAGCATCCGACAGTGATGGAGAAGGCTGGGATGAGTGTGGGGCCCCAATGGCTTTTTCACTTTGTGTAGATGAGCTGAAGCAGGAGCCGTTTGTTGCGCTGCTGCAGCAGCTGCTGCAGCTGCACCAGCTGCAGCAGCAGCAGCAGCAGCAACAGCCGCAGCAGCAGCAAAGCTTCCCCGTCCTGAGACACCTTCAGCTGGACCTTGTGGGCATCGAGTGGACACCAGATGTTCTCGAGCTGCTGCAGTAAGCAGCTGCTGCTGCACATCCTGCTGCTACTGCTGGTGCAGCTACGGCTGCTGCTGCTGCTCCCTGTCTTTGGCGTTGCTACTGCTGCTGCTCTCTGCCTTTGCTGCTGTTCCTGCTGCAGTCCCTTGCGGTGTTACAACTACAGGTGGTCATCCCTGTATGTGTAGCAGTCTAGTGCACCTGCTGCTGCTGCTGCTGCTTGTGCTGCTGCTGCTGCTGCTGCAGGTTAGTGCTGCAGCAGCAGGGTCCCAGCCTCTGCAGCGTTTCTCTCCGCTGCCGGCTGCCCAGCAGCTCTTTGGCTTTGCTGCTGCAGGCGCTGCCCCCCACCCTGCGGGCTCTTAACATATCTGAGAACACGTGGGTTCACAGCAGCAGCAGCAGCAGCAGCTGCTGCTGCTGCAGCAGCAGCAGCGGGGGCGCTTGCGCCTTCGGCAGCTACGGTGCTGCAGCAGCTGCGCCCACGCAGTGTGCATCTGTCGTTTTTCTTTAACTTCGCAAATGAACATAAATATAAATGAATCAGATTAATTTAAATCAATTTAATTAATTAATTTAATTTAATTTAATTTGATTATATTTAATTAAATAAATTAAATTCGTTGGAAGTCTTTTGCTGCTGCTGTGAGCCCCAGCTGTTTGCCCACAAGTGAAAGCCCACGCAGCAGCAATTTGTGCATTTGAGTATTTTTTTACATCCATTTATTTATTTATTATTATTTTTATTTAACTTTCATTCTATATTATTATTTAATTATTTTTATATTTATATTTTAATTTATATTTGTGAGAAGCAGCAGACGTTGCTGGAGTCTTGGGTGGTTTGGAAGTGACGGAAGCACCCTGCTGCTGCTGCTGCTGCTGCTGCGTGTGTGCTGCCAGGATAGACCTGGACGCAGTTGCTGCGCTGCTGCTGCTGCTGCGCTGCGGCCGCCTCCGCTGCCTCCGCATGCAAAATGCTTCTCTTTCAGTTGACTGCAGAATTCAAATTGTAAAGGCTTTGGAAGCAGCAGCATGCAGGTCTTCTCTCGTCTGGTTCGAAGGTGCTGCTGCTGCTGCTGCTGCTGCTGGTTTTGCTGCTGATGATGCTGTGGGTGCCGCTGCTGCTGCTGCTGGTTATGCTGTTGATGATGCTGCTGGTGCTGTTGCCGCTGCTGCTTCTGGTGGTTATGCTGCTGATGATGCTGCTGGTGCTGCTGCTGGTTATGCTGCTGATGGTGCTGTTGCTGCTGTGGTGATGATGGAGCAGCTGCTGCTGGTTATGCTTCTGCTGCTGATGGGGCCCTTTATGGTGCTGCTGCTGTTGCTGCTGGCACGGCTGCTGCTGGTGATAGTGCTGCTACCGATTGTGGTCTGGCCGGAGGTTTTGCTGCTGCTGCTGGTGATGCTACTGCTGCTGATGGTGCACGTGCTGCTGCTGCTGCTGCTTGCCCTGTAGCCGCTTCTCCACGCTCGAACTTGCTGCTGCTGCCGCTGCTGCTGCTGCTGCTGCTGCTGCAGGCTTTGACTTGGCAATGCACTCGTCTATTTCTCCCGCGTGCTTCATGGCTGTTAAGCCGCAGCAAATTCCCTGCAGCAGCGCCTCAGCAGGCCTCAGGGGCCCCGCCCATTTGCTGTCTCCCTCGAAAAGCAGAGCAGCAGCAGCAGCAGCAGCAGCAAGACACGAAGCAGTCCAAAGGTAACCCAAGCTGTGGCGCGTGCGCATGCTGCTGCTGCTGCTAAGCACAAACAGCAGCAAAAAGGTCTCCATACAGCGGCTGCCGCTGCTGCTGCTGCTGCTCTTGTTGCTGCTGCTGCTCTTTCATCCTGCTGCTGCTGCTGCTGCTCTTATTCCTGCTGCTGCTGCTTTTGCTGCATATGGCCAAGTCGTATGTTTGCCCTACACAACTTTGCCTCCACCGCACGATCTCTCTCTGCGTCGTCCTTGCTGCTGCTGCTGCTGCTGCTGCTGCTGCTCTGTTGCAGCGGCGCTCCCTCCACCACCCGCAATTACTGCTTCTTGAGGTATTTGCGGCTGAGGGCTCTTGCTGCTTCTCTTGTGGGGCGGAGAGTCAGGGCCTGGTGGAAGCCCACGACGGATGTCATGAAAACGGACTTCGGCGGCAGGTTTGCTGCTGCTGCTGCTGCTGCTGTTGCTGTTGCTGCAGTTGCAGTTGCTGGGCCGCTGTGCATGCGGCTTGTTTCCATCTCTCTGTCTAGCAATCTTTTGTTTTCGTTGCGGCTGCTGCTGCTCCTAAAACTGCACTTGCTGCCACCTCCTGCTGCTGCTGCAGCCCTCTGCTGCTGCTGCTGCTGCTGCTGCTGCAGGTACTGGCCGTGCCTCGTGCTGCATCAAGACCCCTCTTCTCTCGTGCTGCGTGTCCTCTACGACAACGGCGAAGAGGACTTTCTGCATTTGGCCTCTCTGCAGCCA